AAGAATCTTATTATTATTTTATAAAATAAATTATATATTACTTTAAAGTAATGTTTTTTATAGTAACACATGAGAGAAAAATTAAAAGAGTTGAATAAATATATAATAATAAATACTTACGAGTATATTGAGAAAAATATCATTAATATTTATAATTTAAATTTTTATTTTAAATTAACTTATAATTTAAGACAGAGCTAATACTATAAAAAAAATCTAAAACTCACATCCCAAAAAAAAAATGGATGGAATAGATTTAAAACTGTAATTTTTAAATAAATAAGATAAAAAAAAAATATCCAATAATCATTTTATAATACTAATAGCAATAATTAGAATATGTGGGAGTAATTTTTTATATTTGAAAAAGCTGAAGAGTTCTTAGTTGACGTATGGCTTTGGGAAATAGCAGCATTTAACTATCCTACAAGCCAACATAACTTTTTCTGAGGCGTGCATAAAAATAATTGTATATGAACGGCGGTGTGCAATTACTCCTAATACATGAAAAATGAAAAGGCACATTCAAAAACTGAAGCAGCCAAACCATTGCTAAGGTTACAGATTACATCATTAAATCAATGAATTATTTTTATTCTTCCATAACTACCCCATTAATCTTTTGAGTGAAAAACATGCATAACTGACTTATGAATTTTTTAATTTTAATATATAAAGATGTATAGGTTTCAATAGAATGGGAGTATATAACATTTTGCTCGAAGAGTTCTACAGTTTGCCGTTATGGCTTTTCAAAAACCAGTGGCTGAGTCTAAAAGTATTCCACTGAAAATATTGGTGAACAAACAAAGAAACAAAGTTGTTTTTGTGGAAACCACTAAAGACTTTGTCGACACTCTCTTCAGCTTCCTCTCTCTTCCTCTTGCTACCATTGTTCGTCTTTTAGAAACAAATGACAATGGCCAACAACAATCAGAGTCTTCACCGTTCCTTGACAACATAAAAAATCTCTACCAATCTGTCCAAAACCTTGACTCAGATGATATTTGGAACAACCCTATGTGCAAACAAATACTGCTCCGTCCTAGAAATCCCTGTGAATCACTTTGCATGAAATTGTTTATGGATATTGAACAAGCTGTATTACCAACCAAGTTTTTTGTTTGTGATTCTTGTTACAAGTTCACTACTTTTCCAAATACTCATTGTTCATGTGGAAAATCCCCTAATAAAGTGCCTCGGAATTTGGATATTCTGACTCAGAAGAGTCCTCAAGATGGCGTATTTGTTAAAGAAAAAGGACCAATGTTTCTGATTTCTGATGACTTGAAGATTGTGTCAAGTTCCATGTTGAGTTCCTTAGAGATGTTGATCAAATTGGGCTATTCAGACTTGACTCAATTAGAAGAAATCACACACAACATTGGCAAGCATGAGGTAATTAATGGTGTTTTCTTGTAATATTTATTTATTTATTTTTACAGTATTATTCTTACCATTTCTGTTTTAACTTTTTGTATAGATATTAAACCTTCTCAAGTATACTCTAATCTCTGATGAGCCTCTCACAAAAACAATCTTCGCAAGTTGCTCCATAAACAAATATATCCGACCTAATCAATTTGCATCGACAGTTAGTATAACTCCTTTTGCTAATGACATCACCCGAAAAATGAAGGTAAAAGTAATGCAAAGTAAGTCTCAGAAAAATATAATCTATGCAGAAGCCAATGGAGATTTTGTGGATTTCATTTTTAGTTTCCTTACAATGCCATTAGGGTCGGTAGTAAACTGTTTGGGAGTTAACTCTTTTGGTGGATGTGTTGGTAATTTGTACGAGAGTATGAAGAGTTTTGATCCGACATCAGTGTTACTCAATCCTGGCATAGTTAGTTGTACAAACCATCTTCTCAATATTCCTCATGTAATACCACCTCCCACAACATATTATTATGGTGTGCAAGAATGGCGATATAAATATGTTATTGAAGGAGTGATTTCTAAGTCGCCGGAATCTATTTATGATCGAAGATCCTTGATTTCACTGGACTTTAACTTGTTAAAAAAAGGTGTTGTCGGATTTGTGAAGAAAGATGCATTGTATGGTATAGGAGATGACCTAAAAGTGAAACAAGATTATGCTACTTTTCTCTTTTCTTATCTGAAAGAACTGAACCTTTCTCTTGATGATCTTGAAGTGAAGGTGATAAGCATTGGTGAAGTTGAGGTAAACACTCATAAATTTATTGCTAATTTGATCTTTTTCTTTTCTTCTGTTGTTTTAACAATTTTATATTCCCTTGACTTGTTAATTGTGGTGCAGGCTTTGAGTATCCTTGGAGCATGCGTGACATCAAACTTTACCTTGACAAGTGCTCTCAAACACTTCTTGAATGTGCCAAAACATGAATCCACCTTGACATTAGCAACCTAGTTGTTTAATTTGATGTTTTTTCAAATGAGGCTGAAATCTGCACTGTCAATTGGTTGTAAGAAGATCTTGGACCTAGGTTTCTAATATTCGTAATTTGTGGGTTTTCTCTATGTTACCAGTTTTATTACTTTATAGATTGTTCTCAAAGTTCTATCTTGTTCTATGTATATAATACAAACTATTTTTTACTGCAACCAATTAGGACTTATTGAAGCCAAAATAAAAACCTTTCTTAAATCCAACAGTTGATTCCAAGTCACAAGGTGTTTTAAAATCACGTGTGTAATCACAAATCTCACGGGAACATTACTTAAAACCTTCTTACTAAAATTAAAGTTATAGAAATCGCAATGCTACGGCTAATGCAATGCATGTTGCAATGATTTCAATCCAATGCGCATTATCACAGTTGCATCTGCGGTAGCAATTTAAAAACACGGTGCATATCTCAGACAATCCTACGAGATCTAATTTATTGAAGAGAAGGGTGCTTGATTCCGAGCAAGATTTAGATTGTGTGTTTTGTTCTAGTAGCCTGGAGGACGTATCCCATCTTTTCTTCTCGTACTATAAATCTAAAGATCTGTGAATGGGCGGATATAGACATAATCTCGGAAAATTGCTGTGATTCTCACGCTAAGGTGTGGAACACAAGCCTTAGAAGTCGGTGTTAAGCAAATACAGTAAACTCGATTTGATTTATTACTTGCTGGAATATCTGGAGGTCTAGAAATGGTTGTATTTTTAATAATGTAGTTACTGAGGTCGACAATATTGTTTTCGACATAAAACTCAATTCTTGGAATTGGTTTATCCTAGATAGGAAGGGGAGCAAGCCGTGTTACTTGTACGATTGGTTCAAATTCCCTTTTGACTTCTTATAATTTATATCTTGGTTTGAGATTTCCTTAATCTTTTTTTTTAATATTATCTGCTTATAAAAAAACGGTGCATAGTTTGAGGTTTATCTCATTCTCAACTGAACATTATTAGGAAGCTCTATAATTTCACTTTACTTTAGTGCTTCAACATATAGTTAATTAGGTGTCATCCTTCTATTATAAACAAATTCCAGTTAATAGCACTCTAAGTGCCACAAATACACTGTCACATCTAAGTGCCCATTGAGGATGGCAATTTTAACATCCTTTTGGTAGAGTTGGAACTTATCGAGACAAAATAATCCTAGTAAAAATCAGATAGCTTCAAGACATGTAATACAAGTAGAAGCTTCATCAAAGTCGACCCCTTCAATTTTATCATTACTTTCGTGTTCATGGGCACCTCTATCTCATTCAAGTTGTTGTTAATATCTTCCTCCACATTGTCGCTACTCGAAAAATGCAACGACGGGGATGCAAAAATAAGGACAGAAGAGTCGCCTCCGAATTTTATTTATCCCATGAGGGGAAAGAAAAATATCGAAAAAACCTTAAGAAATGATCGAATAAGATGGTCTCGCAACCAAGAACAGGTCTGAAAGCCTGGTTATGCGAAGAGAAGGTATTAACACCCCTCGCATCCATCGTACTCGATGGGAACCATTTGTTTGTCGTATGTGTGATGTATATTTGCTTAAAGATTATGCTATAAAAGAGTGTTCCACGGGGTAAAAGAAGGGTTAGAAACAGGGGAAAGAGAGGTAACGAGGGAAGAAGAGAGAAAGAATAGACTCGGTAGGACTTCGCGGTCCTAGGTCTACGTATTCTGAACAGATATGAGAAAGTCAGAGTCCACGTAGTTCGGGGAACTACAGATATAGGGGGAATATGCTCGGCAAGGATTATGGCCCTTGTGCCTACGTATCTTTATTCAAAAGAAGTAAAGAATTAGAGCATCCGTAGTTCGGCATACGGTTTGTGGGGAAGCTCTGGTAGACAATGCTATCGTGCGTATTCCAGCAGTTTAGGTGTATCGCTGCTCGCTCGTTGGAGACTTACGCGTTACCTGTTTGCGGTAGAACGGACGTAGCATGTCCTTCTGGGGAAAAGGTGGAAAAGATAAAAGGGTGCTCGCTAGGATATCGCAATCCTATGCCTACGTATTCTCAACATGCAAAAGAAATCAGAGCAACATAGTTCGTGAAACGGGTAACCGGTGATTTTGTAGATGATGTTATCGTGCGCATTCTAGCAGTTTAGGTGTATTGCTGCTCGTTCATTTGGAGACTTAGGCGTTACCTGTTTGCGGTAGAACGGACGTAACATATCCTTTTTGAAAGATTAGTTTTCGCCATGCGAGGCAAGGTGTCATGTTTGATTTGTGGAATTGCTTTTAGGGGTGAGATAGGTCCTCGGATAGTAACCCCTTGCGCGTAGTACCCAATTCTTTATCTCAAAGTTTTTTTTATGAAAATGGTGTGGCGAACATAGCGTCTTCGTATTGAAAGACGAGTATCAAGACCACACACACTACATTGAGTATCCTGACACTCGGAGAGGAAGGAGTCTACACTCAATCCTCTCTTTTTAATTCAACACAAAGAGAACTTCATTCTCTTATTAAAGTATTTTTGGTTTTGAATGGTAAGTGCTTTGCGACAGTGAACCCTACGGTAAATGTCAAGCACTCGGGATAGAAGAAGGCCTACACCTAACCACTTCACTACCGTTCAAGTTTTATGGTAAAAAGAAGTTTGAAAATGCACTCGGTACGAGACTGAGGTTTTAGGAGAGAAAGTTTCGAAAAGAGAAACGTCTTCGTATTGAAAGACGAGTATCGAGACCACCCACACTACAGTGAACATCCTGACACTCGGAGAGGAATAAGTTTACACTCAATCCTCTCTCTTTAATTCAATACAAAGAGAGCTTCATTCTCTATTGAAGAGATTTTGAAAATGCACTCGGTACGAGACCGAGGTTTTAGGAGAAAAAAAGGTTTAAAAATGCACTCGGTGCAGGACCGAGGTTTTATGAGCAAAACGGAGTGGCGAATACGAACGTCTTCGTATTGAAAGACGAGTATCAAGACCACACACACTATAGTGAGTATCCCGACACTCGGAGAGCAAGAAGTCTACACTCAATCCTCTCTTTTTTAATTCAATACAAAGAGAATTTTATTTCTTTATTGAAGAGGTTTTGAGAACCTGCCAAAGAGATGAAAAGCGGAGACAGATATACACAGGATATAGATAAACAACAGTCCAGCAATTAGGATTTTATGGTTTTGATATTTATTAAGTGTTTTAAAAGAATGTAAAGTTAGTTGAATATATACAGGATAATAATAATATACAGAATATATAATATGTACAAGAATATAAATGACTGAAAAATAAAGCAGTTAATATTTGACAGAAAGTAAAGCAGTTGTATATTGACAGAAAATAAAAGTTAGTCGTCAATTGGTTAGTGGATTGAATCGGGACACAAAAGGATGAGATCTCGTCTTAACCATAAACAAAATATCGATTAATCGAAGGTAGCCTATCGCGATCCCAAAGTAAAGAAAATGACCCAAATGATCATCTTCCATAAATTTGAAATCGGGAAGGTTATCAACTCCGATAAATTCGACGCCTGCGGATACAAGACTTCATCGATCCAAATAGTCAAAATGAAATTGAATCGGAAAATAAATGAGGAGAGAAAGAGGGTGGTGTCGGATCCAACATTACTTATCAATAATTTGAATAGTAACGATTTACGGAGGTCTCGTCATCGATCTAAAAGAGAAAAATGGGATAAAATGCCCAATGACAAATGCGAAATAAAATCCAACTTCTACAAAGAAAATAGAATTCAAATTCCTAAAAGAAATTGAATAAAATTAAAACTTAAGGAATATATATATATATATATATATATATATATATATATATATATATATATATATATATATATATATATATATATATATATATATATATATATATATATATATATATATATATATATATATATATATATATATATATATATATATATATATATATATATATATATATATATATATATATATATATATATATATATATATATATATATAACCCTAAATATACTAATATTATAGAAACTATATATAAAATAAAATAAAACAAAATTATAAACAATAATAATAATAATAATAATAATAATAATAATAATAATAATAATAATAATAATAATAATAATAATAATAATAATAATAATAATAATAATAATAATAATAATAATAATAATAATAATAACAACAGTAATTAAATACATAATGAATATTTACAAATTGATGAAACTAATTTACAAAATTATATTAACAAATCTTAAAAAAAACAAATATAAAATACATATACAAGACTAAAAAAATTGATTTAAAAAATACATTAAAATCTAAAAAGGATTTAAAACAAATATGTTATATTAAGAACAAAAAAAAGGGTTGGTAGAAAAATAAATGGGCTTCAAAAGCCCATCAAACAAATAAAACAAAATCCCAATTCTTAAGAATAAAAAAACAAATTGCTAGAGAAATCCCAAATGCCATGAAAGCAGAAAAACACGGATGTCCAAAAGAAATATGACGCATCTCCTCTCACTTTGCTTCAAAATGCTCAATCTGTTCATGGGTTTAGAATTTCATCTCCTTCAATGATTTGGTTTTGATTCGTGTCAAACTCATCTTCTTCTGTTCTGGGTTTATTGACAGGTTATGGATTTGAATGGTTATTGAAAGTTTGTGTTATGGGGATTCGAAGACGGATTTGGTGAAGGGAGGATTTGGAGGAGTTTTGGCTTTGGATAGAGGAAGGATAAGGTGGAGGTTGAGTTGCGAAAATGGGTTACGGGTTGTGAAGGTTAGACCCACATCCAACCTCTAAGTATTGAGGTCTGGATGCTCTAACTTCTTTAATCACTAGTAAATAACTAACTAACAAAATATATATATATATATATATATATATATATATATATATATATATATATATATATATATATATATATATATATATATATATATATATATATATATATATATATATATATATATATATATATATATATATATATATATATATA